CCACGGCATATAACCACTATCACCACCACCATCACCATTACCCAAGTTAATGGCGTGGCACTGTGGGTTAATGCACTGGACTGCAAAATTGGTTTGAACCACAAAGTCGGTGATTCTAGCTCACCAGCTGCTCCAAGGAAACCTTATGCAGGGTCGCTACGGGTCGGAAGCAACTTGGCGGCACTTGACAACAACCCTCTAGTTGACAATGGCGACTAGAGTTTGAACCGCCGACCTGTGGTTAGCAGCTCAGAGCTTAACCCACTGAGGTACCTCGTTGATTGTGGAGTGGGTTACTCATATGTGTGAACAGACCAAAACCCGCTGACTCACATACTTTAAATGGATGCATTGTATGACATGTCAATTGTTGTTAGGTGCCATCGAGTCAGTACCGACTCATAGCAACCCTAAGCACAGCAGAACGAAACCCTGCCTGATCCTGGGCCAACCTCACTACTGTTGCCACACTTGAGTTCATCGATGCTGCCACTTGGTCAATCCATCTCGTTGGGGGTCTTCCTCTTTTTCTCTGACCCTCCCTCCACCTTACCAAACATGATATCCTTTTCTCCAGCGACTGGTCCCTCCTGATAATACGTCTGAAGTATGAGAGACAAAGCTTAGCCATCTTAGCCTCCAAGGAGCACTCTGGCTGCACTTTTCCAAAACAGATCTGTTGGTTCTTTTGGCAATCCATGGCACTTTCAGTATTCTCCTTCAACACCACAACTCAAAGGCATCAATTCTTCTACGATCTTCCTTATTCGCTGTCCAGCTTTCGCATCCATATGAGGTTATTGAAAATACCATGGCTTGGGTCAGGCGCACCTTAGTCCTCAAGCTGACATCTCTGCTCTTCAACACTTTAAAAAGGCCTTGTGCAGCAGATTTGCCTAATGCAATACGTCCTTTGATTTCTTGACTGCTGCTTCCATGAGTGTTGATAGTTGATCCAAGAAGAATGAAGTCCTTGACAACTTTAATCTTTTCTCCGTTGATAAAACTGTTGTTTATTGGTCCAGTGGTGAGGATTTTTGTTTTCTTGACATTGAGATGCAATCCATTCTGAAGGCTGTGTTCTTTGATCTTCATCAGTAAATGTTTTAAGTCCTCTTCACTTTCAGCAAGCAAGGTTGTATCATCTGCATATTGCAGGTTGTTAATGAGTCTTCCTCCAATCCTGATGCCACGTTTTTCTTCATAGAACCCAGCCTCTTGCATTATTTGCTCAGCATACAGGTTGAATAAGTATGGTGAAAGAACACAACCTTGTCGCACACCTTTCTTAATTTTAAACCATTGTGTCCACATGTTCTGCTCAATTACATCTCAATAAATCAGTGTTGTTGTTTTTTTAAATCCCAACATTATCTGCATTGTTGATACACAAAAGATTCGGATCATTAGGAGGTGGTTGAGATGTGGGATTAAGAGTCTGTGGGGTTAGGAACGTAAACAGCTAATTTTCCCCTGATGTTCACAGCTGCACTATTCACAATATCACCATAGCGACCCTGTACAGGGTTTCCCAGGCTGTAAATCTTTACGGGAGCAGAAAGCCTTATCTTTCTCCCACCGAACAGCTGGTGGATTCGAACTGCTGGTGAGCTGGGCTGGGAGGGCCAGGAAGGAGGTGGTTCTTCTTCAGTTGTTATATACCGCTCAGTTGTTTCTGACCCATAGCATCGCCGTGTAGGATTTCTGAGGCTGTAAATCATAGCGGGAGCAGAAAGCCTCATCTGTCTCCCACAGAGTGGCTGGTGGGCTTGACTGCCGAGGTGGCGGATCAACCATTCTGTAACTCCACTCTTGCATTTGGGTGAGGAAAAATTTTTGAAACTAGAGTCGCAGTGGGGTCCTGGTGGGTGTGGCGCTGCGCGTTAGTGCGCCAGACTGCAAAGCCGTTAAAACTGCAAGGTCGGCGGTTCAAGCTCACCAGCTGCTCCTTGAAAACCCTGTACAGGGTCGCTATGGGTCGGAATCGATTCGACGGCACTTCAAAACAACAGAGTGGTAGTGGTTCTTCAACGTGGCGAATCTCACTAGCATCACTGAAAGATGGTTACGATGGTACCTTTTCTGGTATCTATTGGTTGGTTATGTGCCATGGAGTCGGTTCTGACTCATAGTGACCCTGAATGGGGTTCCGAGGCTATAAATCTTTACAGAAGCAGAAAGCCTCATCTTTGTCCCGCAGAACCGCTGGTAGTTTCCAACTACTGACCTTGAGGTTAGCAGCCTTACTTGTAACCAACTATGCTACCAGAGCTCCTTGTTATATATATTTTGCCACAATGTTGTTGTTGTTGTTAAGTGCTGTGGAGTCGGTTCCGACTCATAGCGACCCTGTAAATCTTTACGGGAGCAGAAAGCTTCATCTTTCTTCCGCGGAACAGCTGGTAGCTTCGAACTGCTGACCTTGCAGTTCGCAGCCCAATTCGTAACCACTACGCTACCAGAGCTCCTTACAATAAAAATATAAAAACAGAAAGGAACCGAGAAAACGGTTTGCATTAAAACGGTTTGGATGCCCTGTCGCTGCATTCTAGAGTCCAGCATTGGGCTAAGATTCGAATCGCTTCTATACACATTCACAGCCCCAGACTCACAGCTGCCGTGACCAGGGTTTGAGGGAGGAAGTTAGCTCTGAGCCTGCCAAAACCAGGAGTGAGGGGCAGGGACGGTGCCAAGTGGGCGGGCAGGTGGCCGAGACTGCCACGTGCCAGGAAAGGATGCCAGAGCCGACAGGGTCCGACGTCTGCTGGCCAGCTGGGCCAGTCCACTGTTGACACTGGCAGGTCAGCCAGGCAGGAGGGTGGTGCTGGCTGCTGGTCCTCACCACAGACAGGCCCAGAAAATGATCTTAGAACCACAGGTCAGATCGCTTGCCTGCCTACAACCCTCCGACGCAGATCCCCTCCAGGACCTCTCCTTGGCTGTGACCTTTACCCCCTGGGAGCCTATGTGCCACCTGTCATTGTGACTCCCAACTCCCTTAGTGTTCCTGCCGCTGTTAGCGGTGGAATCGGTCTCTCGTGTGTGCAGAGCGGAACTACACTCTACAGGTTTTCAAGGCTGTGACCTTTCTCCACGTGCCCACCTTTCAGCTCACAGTCAAGTGCTTAAACCTCTGATCCCCCCCCCCCACACACACACACACACTGCCATTGAGAGTCCATTCCAGCTCACAGCAAACCCAAAATAGGGGTTTTGAGACTAAATCCTTAAAGGAGCAGGGGGGCCTCATCCTTCTCCCATGAGTGGTTGGGGGTTTGAGACTGGCGGCTTTGCGGTTAGCAGCCCGTGCCTAACCCACAGCGCCACAAAGGTGAAGCCCCCTCCCTCAGGACCGCTTACCCAATGGCTGCTCTGTTCGATCCTAGGATGTACACTCAGGACAGGCAGCAGACTGTCCCCCCTGGCAGCATCGCCCTGTGTGGCACCGGCACCTGATTGGTGCTCAATACGTGTCCGCAGACTGACAGCTGATACTGACAGTCCTCAGTTTCCCCATCTCTGAACGGGTGGCCCCCATGACCCCGACATCACCATCATCACGCCCCGGATGAAGAGGATAATGCTTCTGAAAGCCTGCACTTCCCTAGGCCTTTGTGGCCAACACATCGAGGGTCCTGGGGTCATGACACCTGACCCCTCATCCCCTGTCCCTCCCACCTGGCCTAGCCACCTGAAACCTCCCTGATCAGCAATGGGCTCAGTAGTCTGGGAGCGTGGACAGGGCTGGGGGCAGGGGCTGGAGGGGGTCCTACTGACCCCACAGTCGCCAGCTCAGCCTCGCCCCAACCCGTGGCTCCCCGAGAGCTGGGCCGAGGCAGACAGGGAACATCTGGTGAATAAATCAAAAGAACTCGTCCCCACGCGCTCGCATGCCGCCTGTAGAGCTTGGCCCAGTATGTGAGCCTTCATCATCACGGGTACGAGCCATAGTCCAGCCTCTGAGATCAAGTGGCTCTTTTCATGGAGGGAAACCAAGGCTGGTGGCCCTGAGCTCAGGTTCTGGCTGATCTCTGCGCACAGGGTCACTGCATCCAGCCTGGGAGCCCCCACCGGGCCAAGCGTGCAGCAAGCAAGGCTACTGATGCAAACGGAGCCAGCATCGAGGGGTGACGTCTGCTGGCTGCCATTAACACCTCTGCCTGCATCCAGGGATGAATCCTTCCTCGGCCTCTCCCAGAAACTCTCCTCCTACCTCAGGACCTTTGTACATGTTGTACCCCACCCCACCTCCAGTACCTCCATTGCACTCCCGTTCCCAGTTTCTAGAGGCTACTGAGGCTCAGAGGGAAGACAAGCATGCGACTGGGGGCCAGGAAGAGGGGTTCTTGGGAAGCCACACCGCCCCCCAAGTCCTCCCAGACACCGTGCATGGGGAGTCCATGAGGCTCCCATTCTGGGCACGCCACCTGGCTGAGCTGGGATGCAGCTCTATGGATGCTCATCTGGTTTCCATCTGCCTGGCCCAGTGGCCAACTTCAAAGGCTGCCCTGCTCGGCCACTTCCTCTGCCTCAGCCGCCCGCTGGGAGAGGACATGGTGGCTCCACTTCCTCCTACCCCAGCTGCAGCCTGGAGGCTCCACGCACCACTCAGGACTCCCGAGATTTGGCGGGCCCGGCCTTAACTACCCAGCACGTGGCTCTCCTACAAGAGCGTACAAGCAGACCCTCGTCCTTCTAGCGAGCACTACCACAAGTCCCCAGCCTCCGTCCCTCTCTTAGTCCCTTTGTATGACATCAGCGCAGTTGTCGCCTGCCCCAACCTCCAAAGCACCTGCTACGCTCAACACTGGACAACACACTGCATTCACTCCCGCTGTGCCGTCCACATAGAACGCCTTGTGTCCACTAAAACATCGTTCTTCAAGAGATGGGCACCGTGGAGCTCTGGGCTCAAGTTCCCCCACATTGAATAACAACAGTCCCCACCCCACCCAACACGGCTGTGGCCCTGGCAGCCTGCACAGCAGTGTTAAGCCTACCTGCTTGAACTGCTCTTCGTAGGTCCAGTCCCCATGGTCTGGCGGCAGCAGTGAGGGTACCACGTGGGCAGCCCCTCCGGGATGGGCTGGGCCAGGCCCCTGGCGCTCCTGGCTGCCCAGTGCCCGGGGAACACCATCACCACGGAAGGGCTGGGGTGGCTGCGTCTTCCGGGGAAACAGAGCTCCAGAACCCAGGCTGGCAGGACCCGGGGGTCCCAGCCCCTCCTCCTCCTCATCTTCCTCCTCCTCATCCTCATAGTCATCCTCATCCTCCTCATCCTCGTCCACATCCTCGTCCTCGTCGGCCAGGTCCCCCTCGAGCTCTTCCTCCCACTTCTGCTTCCTGTACAGACAGAGGACAAGCTTCAGGTCTCAGTCCCCCAATGTGACCCCCAACAACTGAGGCTGGGGAGAGCATTCCCAGTTGTTGCCTGTTTAGGACACAGGTGGCCCTGCTCTGTCCCTGACTCAGCCAGAACAACAGGAGTGCCCGCTGCAAAAACATCCGCCTGCCAACCCCATCGTCCCCTCCCCTCCCCTCCCATCTGGGGTCCTGGAGACCCACATTCATTTCTGCCCCTGCAACTCCTATACCACGTTTCCCACTCCTTCTCCTGGTAGTAATTACGGGTGCACGAGCTGACTTGTGCTTACTTACTATCTGTAGTGAACAGGGTCACAGGGCTTCACACACGCACTCACACACAACAAACATTGTTCACTGCAGATGAGTAAGTTGTTGCATGTTGCCCAGTCTATTCCGACCCATACTGGCTTTCTGGGAAAGCTGCTGAGTTCCAACAGTCAACCTATGGGTTACCAATTTGGTGCCGATACTAAAGCACCATACCACAAGCAAACCGTGCTCCCCTGGCTGATGGGGTACTTCATCTGTCAGGGACTGTCAGTTTGAAAAGAGGTCTTAATTCTGGAGGAAGGTGCTGTGGGGTGGTGAGAGGCAGATGCCAGCCAGCACCAGAAGCAGCATGTTTGATGTGGTGGGGAAACATGGAACCGTTCCCTACGGATGAGTAAGTCAGCACGAGCCATCCTGTGATTGCCATACTTTCTAGATCTTTCTTCCACCCCTTCAGAAGCGCAACTTGATTTTTTGGCAGCCCAGATCACATACTGGAACTGGCCCTCTCCTCTCTGCTGGTCAACCATCTTCCCAGCTAGATGTGGGCTCCATGTGGCTGGACCCTGGACGAGGGGTGTGTGTGTGTTGGGGGTAGGGAGCACATTAACAAAACAATCTGACCCAAGCCTGTCCTGTATGGGCTGGTTCGGTGTCAACGGAAACAAACTTAAAAATTCTGTTCCTTGGTTATTTTGGCCACTTGTCAAGATAGTCACACTTGGCCTTAGTGGATAGTGTAAAGGAAGAGGGCCCTTTCTACCTTCTAGAAAGCTCCACTGGACACCACTGTGCTTGTAAGACTAGGTTTGTGTCTTGTCATGGAACACACCAGAAGGGTGTTCACCACCCATCTTACAGGTGTGAGATGACTAAGTCTTAGGCGACAGCCCTAGCCCCGACTCACATGTCCTCGTCTGAGCCCACGTCCTCAAAGTGACCGTCCCCTTCAGCATGCGCAGGTCCCTCCCTGCCTCGGCCTGGTGGGGCGGGAGAGCCCGGCACCCCCTGCCCGGCTGCTGTGTCTTCATCCCCGGAGCCCGGGGGTCTGTCGGCAGAGTCACTACTGGGGCTGGCTGAGTGTCTGAGACCCGCTGCGACCGCACGCATGGCTGCCAGTGCAGCAATCTGGGCTTGCTGGATACGAGCGCTGTCGGGCTCCTTGTCCTCTTCTGGGGGCCCAGCGTGGGCTCGGGTCGGAGGGCCAGGAGAAGGCTCCGGAGGCTGCGGCTGCCGGGCCTCTAGCTCCTGGCGAGCACGTTGCTGACGTTGTAGCAGGGTCTCCATGACAGCCTGTAGCTTCATGGTTCTGCGGGCCGGGCCGCCCCGGGCACCGGGGGTGGGCGGCGGGGGCGGCCCCTGCGGGGAAGGGGCCCGGCCGCACTGCAGCGTGGGGGCCGCGGGGGAGCCGGGGCAGTGCAGGGTGGCAGGGGGTGGGGGCGGGGCCGCCTGGCTCAGGCTGAGAGCTGGCGGGGCATGCCAGCAATCCAGAGGTGTATCCTCGTCAGGCTGGGCGACGATGCTGGGTGGCAGGGGCGCGGCTCATTCAGAAACCTGGGGGTGGGGGCAAGAGAGTCCGTCAGAGGGTGCCAGGCTCCTCTAGTCCCATCCCTCCCAAGAGGCCACTGGGAAAATCCCTTCATAGTCCTCCGGATGGGTGCTCACTTGGGGGTGAAGCACTCTCCCCATCTGCCCCCCTCCGGCTGGCCCAGGAAGTGGGGGTCACTTGCAGGGCCTCGAGAGACACCCCCCCCCAGCCATTGAGCCACAGAAAAGCGCGGTTGCCAGGGGAGAGCATGGGTTATTACTTCATAGTCAGAGCAAAAGGGTCCACACTCCTGAATTCTGATTGGCTCCGGGGGCCAGAGTCCAGAAGAGTTCTGACTCTGGTTCTAAATTCTAGGTCGTCTAGCCAGGAGGGGCGGCCAAGTTTCCTGCCTGGTCTTGGACTAACAGAAACAGATGACCAACGTTGGGCACTTGTTGTTTATCAGCCTGCGCTCTTCTGTTTTATTCTGGTTTTGTTGTTAAGTGACATCCTGTCAGTTCCAACCCATAGCGACCCTGAATACGGTTTGAACCTCCAAACTTTTGGTTCAAACAGACCTTGTAGTCCAGTGCTAATCTTACAGGGCCACACCAGGGCTCCTCTGATAGAAGGCCTCAGTTTTCCTATCTGCAAAAGACGTTGGGTAACAGTGCCCACCTCACAACACCTAAGTGAAGGTGTACCGTTCCCACTTTACAGGTGAAGAGACAGAGGGTCACAGAAGGCCACACAGGGCTGGGGATTTGAACTTGGGTCTAGTTGAGGTCAGACCAGTCATTCATGCTTCCTACATGGACCCACCCCGACCCCTTTCTCTCCAATGGGGCACGGGGACCAAGAAGAACTCAAGAGAAACCATGGAGGAGGGTGCCTGGGATTCTAAAGGGGGTGCATATCCCAGAATGCAGTGCTCAGTGTCCACCATGAGTTGGGAGATCCCAACACACCCAGAACCTGGACACAGCCCCCCACCACAACTGGGCCACACCCCCACCTGCCCAGGGTACCAATAAAACAGTGGGCAGAACCCAACAGGCTGGGCAGTGAGACCCCAGATGGGGCACAGTGGGGACAGTTGGGAGGGGGCATGTTCCCCCTCCTCCATGGACTCCTAGGACACCCTGAGCCAGTCAGACACAGAGAAAGGAGGGGTGGGCAGGAACTCCAAGGGGTGGGCGTGGTGAGGCTGACCCCTATCACCAGGTAACTTACCCACGGGGGCATGGGGGGCAGGAGTGGGAAGTGGGGGTGTCTTGCACACGAAGCTGGGCTCTCTCCTTCCACCCAGACACCATCTAACCAGACCCCTGGGGTAAAAGGGGCAGTAGGATGGGGGGCAGGTGGGTGGCCTCTGTGGGGAAGTTTGGAGGGCCACGTCACTGAAGGACCTTAGTGTCCCCATCTGTCTGGGGTCCCAGGATACAAAGCCCTTCTCAGAGGCCACTGGGCAGGGAAGTGACCAGCAGGGCCTTGCCCTTCAGAGACCGCAAAAGCAGCACCCAACCCCCCACCCGCAGGAGGGGGGCGAGCAGCGGTCACCCCCCACACCAGCCCCAGAAGTGCTGAAGGGACATTTCTGTCCTGTGTCTGGTCTATCGCCCCTCCCCCACCTTTGACAACTTCAAGACAAGCCCCCCCCCCACGGAAATGCTCCAGGCGACGCCACCCCTTTGGGGGGCAGAAGGAAGAGGCCAGAGGAAGCCACTCCCCCCAGAAAGCCCCCCCTCCCAGGCTCGCTGGGTTTAATGACCGTTCGGGTTGCACGATGGGGGAGGGGAGAGCTCGACAGGCCTCCTCATTGGGTGGGTGGTGGGGACAGGTGGGAACCCCAGAGGCCCCCCCCACCCCGGCCCAGGCCTGGGTCCCTCGCCGCCATTAACCCCAAGCTGGCGACGCCCACCCCCCTCCAGACCCCTCCCCTAATGAACCCTTTGTCCTCGGCGCCCCCACACTTTATGACGACCCCACGGGGGCTAGCAGGCTCAGGACAGAACGGGCGGGGGTGGGGGTGCTGAATGGTCGTTGGGGCTGGGGGAAGATCGGGGAGGGATCCGGGGCCACACCCTCCCCCCAATGCCGCCCGGAGAGAGGTCAGCCGCTGGGGCCCGGGCCTTGCAAAACCCGGTTATTTAAAGATTGTGCAAGCTTGAAGCCCGCGGGTGGTGAAAGGGGCCCCTCGCTCCACGAGGGGAAGAGGAGGGGGAGGGATCAGAAAGCTGGGGAGGGGGCAAAGAAAGTCAAGGGGTGGGGGCAACCGGAGGAAGTGAAAAAAAAAAAAAAACTGAACAAGAAATACAACGACGAAAACCCCAGTCTGGATTTCAAAGACTTCTTGGAAAGCGGCCGATTTGCATGGGGGGCGGGGGCTACCCTCCGGCCGGAGCGACTGAAAACGGAAGGTGTTGACAAACCCGCCGCCTGGGGTCCGACGCCGAACGTTGGGATTGACAAACGCGCGCGTTCCCTGCGCTTCCTGAGTCCGCTTTTGTATTGGGGGGGGATGAAAACTTGTGGGGGGCGGCTCTTCCCTGGGACTCCGCCAGGGAGCGGAACCGCATCCCCAACCGCGGGGACCGTGTTGTCACCAGGGGGCCCCTTTCTGCCCTTGGAGCTTACACTTTATAAATAAACCCACCGAGCCAGGGAGGGTCGTCCGGAGTTGCCGTCTCAGCTTGGTGCCCCCACCTCTCTCTGGGCTCGCGAATAAACACCCGATTACGACGAAAACAAAAATTAAATAAAAATCCGGAGCGCAGCCCCCCGCGCGCGCATCTAAAGAGACCATTTCCTTCCGCTGGGGTGGGGAGGGGGAGCGCGCGCGCTCGTGACCCCCGATCACCCCCGCGCGCCCCTGTACAATTGCGGAGTGAGTGAGGTCTTTAAGGAGACCGGTGCGTACAAACCCCACTGGCTAGGGTCGCCTTCCCGGCCTTAGGCCCCCATTCCACGTTCCTGCCTAACTTTGGGGACCCCCTATTCACTTCCAGGCACGCTGCTCCCACCCCAAGGCCGGAACCCGCGATTTCAAAGGCCAGCCCGTCCCTGACCCAGCCTCACCGCGCTGGGGCCAGTCGGGGGGCGCATGCCCCCGCGCCCGCATTCACGTCCGGCCCTGCCCGGCCTGGCCTCCGGCCCCCGGGCTGCGCGCGCTGCTGGCCCCGGGCCGTCGCCGGGTTTGCGCCGCGCGCCGACTCACCGTAACGCCAGTCGTGTCCGCGTCTACACCCCCATCAGACTCGATTGGTAAAAGTCTCCCCGCGCGCGGCCTCCCCCCGCCCCTACGCGCCCTGCCCCCCCCACCCCCGGGGCGCGCTCACCGCCCCGCAGACAAATCACCGGGTGACAAATCGCTCTCAGATGCAAATACCTCGCCGGTGATTCAGCGCGGCGGCCCGGGACTCGGGGAGGGGTCTCGCGAGGCCCCCTCCCCTTTCCCCGGACGCCCCCTCGACCCCCGCGCTCAGTCTCAAGCGACGCAGAAACTAGCCCAGGGTTGTTAGTAGGGTGAGAGTGTAGACGTAAATTTTGAGGTCGCGGCCCCTTTAAGTGATAATAAATAATAAAAGAAAGGGGGGGAGGCGACGCAGAGGCCCCGCCCCCTGCCTAGGGACTATGGGCAAAGTGCACGCTGAGGGCTGGAGCGCAGAGGGCGCGGAGGGCGCGGGCGGGTCTGAGAGCGCCCATGGGGGAGGGGCTGGGACTGAGCCTCAGCTCTGGTAGGTTATCGGACCTTCGCAGGATCAGGGTCCTCTTCCCACCCACAGACCCTTGGGAGGGGCTTTCCGGACTTTGAGTTTTACCCTGGTCTCCTACACTGCGACCTGGCGCTAGTGACTTGTCCCAGAGGGCCTCCGTTTCCACCTCTGTAGAATGGGGATAGTGATGGGGATTAGAGACTAGTCTAAGGGTGGAGCTAGGGTCCCCCCCAAATGGGAAGGGGTCGGGGACAGAGGGAGGGGCCCGGAGCTCTGCGGTGAAGGGTTGCGCAGCGGGAATGGGTTTTGGAGAAGAGTGCGCCCCAGGCCCCAGGGACGGTTCCTCGCGAAGTCCTGATGGCCTCTCCCGCAGATTGTCACCACCTCTTGGGAACCCGGGAACGTACCATACGGAGAGAGTCAAAACAAAAACGGGCCCCCGTGTCACCAGTCTGTGGAACGTTCTAGTTCCCGGGGTATGCTCATTTCGGGGTAGCCCCATTTCGCAGAGGGGGAAACTGAGGCGAACGGAAGGCGATGATGGGAGCCCTAAGGGTTAATCACTAGTTTGGGCCCTGGCTCCAGCTCAGATAAACGCAAACTGGGCAGGGCGACCCAAAGCCCTCGCCCCATTTCTGGAAATTCCCCACTGGCCTAAGCTTGGGTCCCTAGTCTTGAGTGTGGTGAGGGGTTCGTGCGCAGCCTTTAACCTCTCCATCGCGCTCCCTCCTCAAGTCCGGTGAGAGGAGTGTGAATTAGTTACGACGGCCCCTGCAGCACTCAGACCTCTGCGCGGGGTAGCCAGTAGCAGGTGGTTGGGGGGGGGGCCCGGGGGCTGCACCTTTGGGCTATTAAACACCTATCCCAGCTATCTATCCCAGGGGGGAGGAGCCCAAACGTCTGCCCTGAGGCAGAGGAGTTTTCCAGGCTCCCTGAGAAGCAGGTAAGCTGGGGGAAGGGTAGAGCAGCAATCCTTAAAGGCCTAGGTCACCCAGACACCGCCACCATTCCAAGAAAGTCGAGCCCAAACCAACTAGAATTCACTCCCTACACACCCCAGC